ATGAGTTATTTCAAACTGCACTTTTGTTCTAATTTGGCAATTTTTTTTTTTTCCAAGACAGTTTCTCTGTAGCTCTGGCTGTCCTGGACCCACTTTGTAGACCAGGCTGGCCTTGAACTCACAGTGATCTGCCTGTTTCTGCCTCCCCAGTGCTGGGATTACAGGTACAGGTGTGCGCTACCATGCCTAGCTGGCAATTTTCATTCTTTTCTATTAATGCTAATGTGTAATACACACATGACATACGCACACATAATGTATAATATACATGTATATATATAATCTCATGGGACTACAGAGATAGCTCATTGGTTATGCGTTCTTGCAGTTCCTACAGCAGGCTCTAGTTCAGTTCCTAGCATCCTCATCTGGTAGCTCACAACTACCTATAACTCCAATTCCAGGGGATCTGGTGCCTCCTTCTGGGCTCTCTGGGTACCTACACACACACACACACACACACACACACACACACACACACGAGAAAGAGAGAGAGAGAAAGAGAGAGTCTTAAAACAAAATAGAATACACAGATGAGAAGGTCAAAATGGCTGAGCCAGCTCGGTGTCTGAGGTACTGAGTTCGGAATAATCTATCAGAAGCATGAATCCGTTTCATTGTTTCATTACAGAAAATACACGAACTTTTAGCAACCTGTTCCATCTGCGATCCACATCCTTATGTTTGAGCAAATAAGCACGACTATAAACTCTTGTGCTTAATGATCTCCTCAGGTATCTATGGACGTTGGGGTGCAGGTGTGCCCCAGTCGGTTGTTCGCCCAGCACGCCCAGGGGTTCAGTCCAACAATGGATGCACGCACACACATTTTGATGCACAGAATGTGCCATATAGCTTTATGGATTGATTCCTGAAGCATAAAAAGAACACAAATGGGAAACTGATCAAGAGTGAATTAAGAGCTGGACATGGGCCTGGCAGGACAGTTTAGCAGGTACTAGTCTTGCAAGCCTAGAGACCTGCATTTGATCCCTGAAAGTTGCATGGTGGAAAGAGAAAACGGACTCCCACAGGGTGTCCTTTGATCTTCAATATGAGGTATTTCAAAATCTACCCTCCCCCCCCCAAGACAGGGGTTCTCTGTGTGTAACCCTGGCTGTCTTGGAACTCTATAGAGCAGGCTGGCCTCAAACTCACAGAGATGTGCCTTCCTCTACCTCCCAAAGTGCTGGGATTAAAGGTATGTGCCACCATCACCCAGCTTCAAAATCCTGTTTAAAAAACAAGAAAAAAAAAAATCCAGACGTGGTGATATACGCTTGTAATCCGAGCACCCAGGTAGAAGCAGGGTTGCCAAGACTTCCAGGTCAGTCAGAGCTATATATCGAGAGTTTGTTAAAAAAAAAAAATATATATATATATATATGTATATATATATATATATATACACACACACATATATATACATGTATATATACACACACACCACATATACATATGTATCTATACATATGTGTCTGATTTCACCATCACTGTCATTACATATATAATTTCACATACATATACATATTCATTCATATTCTATTCATATACATATGAATAGAATGCTGAGTTTAATTGAAGTGGGAAGAAGGGAGGAAGGAAAGAAGATAGAAACAGGGAGAAAGAGAGACCTCAAGAAACTAACCCGTGGGAAAAACATGAAGGCTCTTTGGAGGCAGCTTATTTGCCTAGGTGGACACGTGGCTCCCTCTTCTGGCAGGTCCAACCCTTGCATGCAGGGATGCAGAAGATTCGTCTTCCCAGCTCCAAGCCAAGAAGCTTGCTTGACTCACAGGCCTTTCAGTGGCGACACCACCATGGCAGCTCCCTGCAACGCACCTTCAGAAAGCTAGTTTTCTATTGAAACCTTTTTATGTGATACCTGGGGGTGAAACCACTGAGGCATACATACTCCGGTCCTCCCAAACACCGTGTTATGGATCTAACCCAATACCTACTAAAACATTCATTCATTTTGACTTTTTGAGACAGGGTTTCTCTGTGTAGCCCTGGCTGTGCTGGACTCACTTTGTAGAGCAGGCTGGACTGGAACTCACAGAGACCCCCTGCTTCTTCCTCCAGAGTACTTGGATTAAAGGTATGTGCCACCACGACCAGCTCTAAAACAATCTTTGAAAACAACTATGCCAGCTGGATTTGGTGGCACACACCTGTAATCCCAGCACTCTGGGAGCCAGAGGCAGGGGGATCTCTAGCCTGGTTCTACAGAGCTAGTTCCAGGGCAGCTAAGGCTACACAGAGAAATCCTGTCCCCCCCAAAAACAAAACACACAACAACTATGCCTAGCTGGATGTGGTGGCACAGACCTTCAACCCAGCTCTTGGGAGGCAGAAGTATGTGCCAACCTCATCTACATGGTGAATTCCAAGCCAACAAAGGCTGCCATGTCTAATTTTTAAAATGTCTTAGGGAGCTGGAGAGAGAGCTTAGTGATAAAGAGCACTGGCTGCTTTTCCAGGAGACGTTCAGTTCAGTTCCCAGCACTCACATGGAGGCTCACCTACCCTAACTCCAGTCCGGGAGTCTTATGACCCCATCTGGCCTGTGTCGTCACCATTATTGGAGACATGGGAGTTGGAGGCCAGTCTGGACTACATGACAGCCTGCCTCAAAAGCATGGAGTCTTCATGGGCCTTGGGAAAGCAAGAAAAACTGGTCCTATACCTTATCTTTTCTAAACAAATAACTCTGAAAACAATCTATTGGGCTGCTGATATGACTCGGCAGGTCAAGGTGCTTGCCAGCGAGCCTGAGTTCACTGTCTGGACCCCATCTGCACGAGAGAACTCACTACTCCTAAGTTGTTCCTGGACTCCACCCATGCGATGGTGTGTCCATGCACACATACACACACCTATAAGGAAAACAACGTTTAAGAAAACCTTTCTCACGGCTGGAGAGACAGCTCAGAGGTTAAGAGCACTGGCTGCTCTTCCAGAGGTCCAGAGTTCAATGTCCAGCAACCACATGGTGGCTCACAACCATCTGTAGTGAGATCTGGTGCCCTCTTCTGGCATGCAGGTGTACATGCAGACAGACATTGTGTACATAATAAAATAAAAACTTTTTTTTGAGACTAGTTTACTGTGTGGTCTTGGATAGACTCAAACTCACAGAGATCCACCTGTCTGCCTCTCATGTTCCTGGCTTTCTTCCTCAAATTTTTGTTGTACAAATAGCGCTTTAATGAAGGGTTGAGCTTTAAAGTACAAATGAAAACTAAATGTCTCTTAATTGGCATGTTTTGCTAACATATACACACATAATTATAGTGACCTCCACGTAAGCACTTGTAACACACTCATCTACACAACAAACGCTTAAAGAAAAACTTAAATACTTACGTGTAAATAGACTGTTCTCCTGTGACTTGATTTTACATGGCGGCACAAGCCGTGTATTACATGAGCTAGTGTAAATCCTTGGACACTGAAATTCAGACTGATTGCTCCGACACACCAGAATCACACTGGGATTCTCTCTACGTGAACTGTGTTTATTCACTTACTATTTGTGCATGGAGGCCAGAGGACAGCTTGCAGGAACCGGTTCTCACCTTCCAGCATGTGAATTCAAGCTGTCGGGCTATGTGACTAACCATGGAGCCCTCTCACCAGCCCAATTTACACGTGCGCGCACTTCTTAACTTTTCAGGACCCCCCCCCCCATTCACTCCAGTCGTTTTCCAAAGAGGAAATCACAGCTTTCACGTGTTAATAACAAGCCCGCCCCTTTCCACTGGGCACAGTTGCCCAATTTAAAATAATCGTATTGTTGGGCCCTTAGGAGCAGCAGCTGTGGGGATGGGGAGCGGCACAGAGACCTAGGACCCCGGTTCTTGCCCTAGCATGCGGGAGGCCTGTTGACTCAGCCACAGCGTCACATAATACAGGTATGGCGGTGGGTGCCTGCAACCCCGGCACTCACAGCCAAGGCCAGGCAAAGCCACACGTTCTAAGGAAACTTCATCTGGGGGAAAGGAGGAAGAAAAAAGTCTCATCTTGTAGCTCAGGCTGGTCTCCAACCTGCTACCTCGCTTCAGGAGTGCTGGGACTGTGCATGTTCTCTACCACGGCCAGCCAGCTCTGAAGCACCAGATTTCTGTCCTATTTGTCTCAAATGTTTACGAAAGGCCTTCTCTGAAGTCATATGCCTACTGGGTTCTTTTGTTCTGAATCCTGGGATTACAGGTATGAGCCCGTATGACCGGCTTTGTTGGTGTTTTGAGATAGTCTCATTATATAGCCCAGGCTAGCCCTAACCTTTAGATGCTTCGGCTCCTCTGCCAGGATCACAAGAGTGTGTCACCACACTCAGAGGATTGCTTGATGAGGACTCCACACCTCCAGAGGTTCATATTGGGATGCTCACGCACAGATGTGTGTGTAGGCCAGACTGGCCTAAGGAGTCACTCTCTTCCACAGCTGTCCACCTCTTCTCAGACAAGCTCTTTCACTGGCCTGCAGTTTACTAATCAAGCTGACCTGCTGACCTACAAGCTGCTGGCACTCTACCACCCTCCCAGTGCTGGGGTGGTAAGCAATCACAGCCACACTGGGTGTGAATCAAACTCAGGCCACACCTGCACAGAAAACATGTGCCTGTGGCCCTGGTCCCTTCTCTTGTCTCCTGGGACAGTCTTGCTTTGTACTCCAAGCTGGCCTAGAACTCAATTCATAGACCAGGCTGTGTTTGAACCTGGAAATAGCATAGGCTAACCAGGAATTCATGCCTCAGCTTCCTGAGGGCTTGGGTGTGTGTGTGCTATCACACCTGGCCACAGTGCACTAATTCAGAATCTGGAGAACAGAGAGAAAACAGGACAAGAGCTCAAGGGAGGAAGAGAGGAAAGAGGGGGAAGAATTCAAATCCATCTTTGTGTTGCCTTTCTTCAAGCTGATTCTTAGGTCTTTCACCCAGTACTAAAGATGCTTAAATGTCAGAAAGACGAGAGAACATAAGCACACACACAAAATAAAACAATTTATTATGCTAAAGAACAGATTTTATTATTTTCCCAAAACACTAAAATAGCCCATGGCATAGTAATTTAGCACACAATATAAATGACATACACAGTCAGGTTCCCAGCTCCTGTGGCTGTTTTTAACTCTTTCTTGGGTAGGAGGCTTAAGAATGTTTGTTCTTTAAACAACCGTCATCAAAATTATCAACAAACCACAAGGGGAGAGTTACTTAATCTTCATGTAAAAGAGATCATCTCCTTCTAGGTGACTGGTCTGTCCTGTGTAAGATCAGAGAGAACCATTCAGAGCAGAGTTCTTTATCATGGAAACCTCTTCTCGAGGGCATCCCAGATGCCGCCATGCCCACTCACCTCTGGCCATCTGAAGGAAGGGGAGACCTGTGGGCTGCCCTCTCAACTTCTTGTTAGCCTTGCTCTGGCCATGATGAGTCTTGCCATCTCTGCATTTTATAGCCTCTGAGATGTGCAAGCAAATGTCCTTTCTCGGTTGAACTGCAGTTTTCAATGGAGGCACTTTGAAGAAGTTGCAATATTAAATTTAGGATAATTTTAAATCACAGAAGAGTTTCAGACTTTTCTGCCAACAGAACATAGGTCACAAATGAAGTATTTTCCTTCTCCCAGACCCAGGACTCCTGATCTCTTTCACATTACTTTTTTTTTTTCTCAAAGTAACTCTCCCTTTGTTGTTTGTTAATAACTTTAATAAAGGTCATTTAAAGAGTTGACATTTTAAGCCTCCTACTCAACAGAGAGTTAATAATTTCCCAGTTCTGAGTGTCCTTCTGAAACGACTGAAAACACGCTCAAAAATGTCCCTCTGTAGCCACCGGAGAGGTGTCTAGCCACAGGGTCAGAGCAGGAGCTGAGTGGCTGCAGCGTATGCCAGACTTAATGCAGGAGAAACGGTGACCACCTTTAAAATTAATCTGCTGTTTTTATTGTTCTGCTCGGACTTTACGGCATCAGAGACTTGCTAATCTGGACGATTGCAGAGCCAGTGACCCCATGAGTATCTGCAGACCGTCTGAAGTACTTGAGAGAGTGTTCTCGCCTTCTACTGTTCGCTCTGGAAAGACAGGGCTTAAACAGCTGAGGGACACACATCTCATCTGGTCTTCTGGGAGAGCTTCGTAATGGGCATAAGCGTATGGTGGCTGGCACAGCTCAGAATATGGGTAAGACAGTTCCGACCCCGTGCCCAGCCTCTGGGGGACAGCACTCAGTGGTGCTCCTTTCAGGAATGTCATTTCCCTCAGTTTTGGATGGCCTGGCTGTCCTGACACCCAGGACTCTCCTTTGTGGTACTGTCCGAGGCTGTCTGTGGCTTTGGGCCCTCTTCCTGGCAAGACACTTCCTAGTCCATCCCCAATGCCAAAGGACACCCCAGCTAGATGTTCTTCCAAAGGAGCAGAGGACAGAACCACAGCTGTGCTCACGGAGGCTCCTGGAGCTGAATTTCTTCCCATTGATTCCTTCAGATACTGAAGCACTTTGGAGCCACTGTGAAGTATGAGGCCGGCCTTGCTCTGATCATGTTTCATTTCCAAGGATGCCGCTACGGTGGCCTGTGACTTTCCATCAGTATCTGCTGTAGGCTGATCTGTCCAGGAAGGCACGTCTGATGGGCTGGAGCTCCCCTTCTGACTTCTTTTCTTAAGGCCACATGATAGTTTGTCCAGGTCACCTCCTTGTGACCACTTTACATTGGCCAGGCAAATACCCAAGGTCCCTCTTCCACCCCTCATGCTTTGAGCCCTCTGATGCAGTGAGCTGGGGTGATGCCTGTCAGTCAGGGGTGGCCTTCAGTGGATCTCAATATGAACCTGGAAAAGATAATTAAAGAAAATTCTGTGACAGAGGGCTATTAAAACATTCACACACACACAGTATCAGCAAACACTAGCTCCTTGTGGAGTGGGACCGCAGAGCTGAACAGGAGCTGGGTCGTGAGAGGCACTGGCCACTGTCGTCCGTCAGCCTAGGCTCTGTAGTGAATTCCAGACCAGCATGGGCTTACAGCGTAGAGACGGAGGCAGGAGGCTCACAAGCTCAAGGCTACCATTGGCTGGCTACATGGTGAATCTGAGGCCAGCCTGGCTACATGAGACCCTGACTCAAACAGATAAATCTGAGAATAAAGTATACACAAAGATACAGATAATCAACCCCTTCGAACCTAGTATAATACCTCCAACCCCCATCCATTTGTTAAGTCTACAAAAAAATCAACACTGTTACGTCATGGCAAACAAACCTGCCCATCAAAGCGCTGAGTGAGAGAGTTCTTTTTTTCCAAGTTCAAGAGTTAAAATAAAATGCAGTATGCTGAAGATGCTAAGAAATGCAAGAGGGAGCAGGAACGTCCAAGATCCTCGGGGCAACTGGGAGAAGGCATCTTCCACACAAACCCTCACCCACAAGAGGTGGCCAACCTGCTAGATGACAATAGGCCTGACCCAATTAGGCAGCTGCTGCCCTGCTGGATGCCTGTCTCCTCACCTTCCCTAACCCAGGCTATTAATGGCCTTGGGCACCTGACAGTCCAGACTACTGCTGCTTTGTAACCTAAAAATAGCCTGCCCCCGATACTTTCCAAAGCAAACCAGCAAGGCTACTCCTCAGAGGGACAGAGAGGAGTCATGGAGTAGGCAATGGGCCCGGTAGGACCCTGGGTGCTGGTGACGCCAGCACACACTCTAAGACAAGCATGCCTGCAGGTGTGGGACGTTGGTAAGCAGGTCCTGGTAGCCCTGGGCCCTGATGAAAGATCAGGCTGGAGGCAGCAAATGTCTCCACACTACGAAGGATGAGGAAGGGCACCACTACCCTTCTCAGTGAAGCTGACTCAGGACCACGGGGAGGACAAATCACCGAGTTTCTTCTACTGACCAGGCAAGCATCTCTGTCACACAGCCACGCCCCATCTCCTGGTCACACATCTGCTAAAAAGCACATTCAATATGGAGAAGCTACACCCGGGTCTGGGGGAGCTGGGCCACCTGGTGTCCTCATGAGAGGTCACACTTCCTGAGGTGTGAGGTGTGGTGCTGTGGGCTCAGCACAGGAAGGAGCTGAGCATTTTCTCCTGTCAGCGCCCACAGGCGGCAGCAGCTTTTCTACCAGTGTTGCCAAGTGTCTCAGGGAACACATGAAAGGATGCTGGGATGTTTGGTAAAGCGAAGGGCAGAAAAGGAACCTCAACAGACAAGTGCATCTCAGTGGGGCAGTGAGATCAATTCCCAGCACCCAAGAAAGGCAACTCACAACCGCATAAGCTCGCAACTCCAGCCCTGAGTGACCCACCACCCTCTTCTGGCCTCTGTGGGCACACATACCCACAAACAAAAATTTTTTAATTAAAATGAAAATAAGACTAGAAAGATCTCAATTTCAGTTCCATCATCCATGGGGAGGTGGTGGCTTTCATTGCCAGCACTAGGGAGGTGGAGACAGGCAGATCCATGAGTCTTGTCGGCCGGGTACCCCGCTGGGCAAGTTCCAGAGGCCAGTGAGAGAGACGGTCTTAGAAGAGAGATGGACTGTTGGGCGCAGTGGCGCATACCTGTAATCCCAGCAACCAAGGGAGGCAGAGGCAGGCGGAACTCTGTGAGTTTGAGGCCAGTCTGTTCTACAAAGAGCGTCCAGAACAAGGTGTGGTGGTGTACACCTATAATCCCACCACTCTGGGAGGCAGAGACAAAGGATCACTGTGAGTTTGAGGCCAGCCTGGTCTACAAAGCCAGGGCAGAGTCCAGGACAGCCAGGGCTACACAGAGAAACCCTGCCTTGAAGAAAAAACAAGGAAAAAAAAAAAAAAGAAGGCAAAGAGAGTCCAGAACAGACAAGGAAATCCTGCTTGAAAAAAACAAACAAGATGGGCCACACCTAAAGGAGGACACTGGAGACTGTCCTTGTCCTCCAAAATGACCCCAGTGTGGTGGTGCATGGCTGTCCTCTCAGCACTCAGGCAAGGGCAGAGAAAGGAGGACCATGAGTTCATCCGCAGCTAGCCAATATGTCTGAGGCCAGCTTAGGGCTACCTAAGACCCTCCTCTCAAAATAAATATGGAGGGGCAGCAGATACAGCCCAGTGGAAGAGCACTTACCCTGCGGTACGCACAAAGCTCCTGGTTTATTTGGTTGCTTTGTTTTGTTTTTGAGACCTTGGTTTCACTATGTAGCCCTGACTAGCCTAGAATTCGCTGTGTAGACAAGGCTACCCTTGAACTCAATGAAATCTGCCTGCCTCTGCTTCCCAAGTGCTGGGGTGCACCACCACACCTGGCTAAGCCTTTGATTTGATGTCAAACACACACACACCCCAAGTTAAAATGAGCCCAGTGTGGTAGTACATGATTGTGACCCCGGTATGGCGAAGGCCAAGGCAAGGAGGCTCTCCAGTTTGAGGCCAGTATGGACTACATGGTCAGATTCCATCTCAAAAACATATTAACTAGTGACACCAGAATATACTGAAGCCCTCATACCCTTGGGGTTGGAAAGGACTTTCTGGTGAGAGCAAACATCAAAAAAGATTGTTAAAGCCAGGTGCAGTGGCGTACGCCTGTAATCCCAGCACTCAGGGAGATAGAACCCCCCAAAAAACAAAACAAAATAAAACCAAAAATTAAAAATAAAACACTGTTAAACCTTGACTTCAGAAAATAAACTTGAGGGGTCTAGACAAAGGATTCGCCAGTTCAGGGCACTTGCTCTGGCAGAAGACTGGTGTTCGAACTCGGCACCCACGTGGCTGCTGACAAGTACCTGCACCTCCAGTTACGGTGAATCTGACACCCTCGTCTGGCCTTTGAGGGCGCCAGACACGCCATGTGGGGCACAGACATGTATGTGGACACTCACACATACACATAAGGTAGAAATACATCTTTTAAAACCACTTACAGGGCGAGCACGGAGGCACACACCTTGAATCCCGGCACTTGGGAGGATGGGATATGAAAAACTTTAGTTCAAGACCAGGACCACACAAACCTCCCCTCCCTCAAGAGTAAGCAAACATATGCGCGACCACAAGCAATGCCAAAATAGAACATGCTGGGAAAAAAAACTGTTTAACGGATTTGTTAAGACGTCAGGTAACAGCTAGGTGCAGTGGCAAGGGGACCATCTTGAGTCCTGCGTACAAACACAGCGAAGTTCCGGGACGGCTTGAACATAAGGCAGAGTGGGGTGGGAAACCCTGTCTCAGTAAGCAAAGCAGGGCTGGGAAGACTGCTCAGCGGGTAACAGCACTTCCTGTGCTACAACGAGAACCTGAGTTCAAATCCCCCACATTTAACAAACATTCCAACGAGGGGGGTGTGAGCACAGGAGCACCTGTCACCGCAGCAGTTCCAGGATCGAGACAAAGCCCAGAGGGCACATGCACCCACACTCATGTAGGTGCTCCAACACGTACACAACCACACACACACACAACACAGGTGCACAGCAACTCTCACACTCAGATAGCGACAACATCCCAAAGGTCCAGCAGCCAACTGAAGATCATCTTCAGAAATGGCAGCTATTAATAGAGCCAAAGCGGGATCCAGCAGGGAAAGGGGCCCGGGTGGAGGAAACCAGGCAACCACGCAGCACGCTCTCATGTAAGGGGAAGGTCGGCAGGATCTCAGGGCCTGTTTCATTCAGCGTTTGTTTGTTTGTATGTGTTCATTTATTTATAGGGGCAGGGTCTCAAACAACTAGACTGAAGATGACCTTCAACTCCTAATCCTGCTGCTTCTACCTCCTGTGTACTGGGACTACAGGCCTAGGACACTTGCCTTGGTGACTGAAGTCCTAGGGATGGGACCTAGGCTCAGGGTGTCTAGACAAGGTCTCTCCCAGCCGAGCCACATTCCCAGTGCCCACATTTATCCACTGTCCTGTCCACAGACTCGCTGCTGCTGTTTTTGGACCACTGTTTTAACTGGAGTAACAGACTTTAAACCGTTTTCAAACTCTCAGGTCCATTCCCAGAAGCAGACTTACTGCTACTGTTCAGCTGTGAAGAACCACCAGTCTCTCATTTTACAACCAGCAGCACACAAGGCCGGAGGGCACACAGCCTCACCAGCATCTGATTCTGCAACCACCCTCCCACCCTCTGCCTGACAACAGCCATCCTAACAGGTGTGAGGCGGCCTCCCACTGCTCCTGAGATCTGTTTTCTCTTCTCAAGGACACACTGGCCATCTGTGTACCTTCTTAGATCAATCTCTGGTCCAGCGCTTTGCCAATGACTGGATTGGGCTGCTTGGTTTTTAGTTAATTTATTTTTAATTGTAAGATATCTTTCTCTATTCAGGGTATTAATGCTTTACCAGATTAATTTACCAATAAATGCTTTCTTCCATTCTGTGGGTGGTCTTTTTTGTTCCCCGCTTCCCACGTGATGTTAAAGATGGACCCGGGGCCTCATCCATGCTGAGCTAACATTTGACTGCTGAGCACCTCTATATTCATTCTTTTGTATGTAGGAGTTCATGTTCATTCAATTTTATTGCATCCTAAAAACTACCGGGAGGTGAAGAAACTGGTTCTTCCTTCCCCAGGAACAGACAAGTTGGGCTGGAGCCCAGAGCCCAGCACTCACTAAGTGCAGCCCCAGGAGTAAGAGTAAGCTGGTTTAAGACCATTTGTTCCCATCGTGTTACATACGATAACTATCTTTTAACATCTGCGTAACTAGAATGAGTTCACATACTTTAGAAGTGTGTGTGATAAATACATGTGTGAG